GGTGCTTAATATAATCAGGGAAGCTAGTATGAGTGATCCAAGAAGATGCATTCAATTGGAGTAGCCATAATCTCATCTAGACCTACTTCCATAAGCAGCACCAAGTCCAGACTACTAACTCGATAAAAAATATTCTAATAATGAATAATTTTTCATTTCTGCTGGTTACATTCCAACCCACAACAATAAGCAATAAAATTATCATGTCAAGTAGGAAAAATAAATAAAATAAATAGTGTAGACAGTTACAGACAGGAGGCAGATACCAAAGATAGATGAAAACATAAAAGAAGAAGAAGAAGAAGTCGATGACAAATTAGTGTGTTGATTATTATTGTGTGTGTTTTTCCACTAAAAACAAAGAACCAACTGTATAGTGCGGAACTGCGTCTAAATCATTTTTTACGTCTTCTTCTTATTTTTTTTTTCTTTGCTTCCTTTACGAATATCTGTGGATGAAAGAGAAGGCAAAAAAAGGCCAAATGACATTCAGTGCTGTATAAAGCAACAACAACTAAAATGTGAAGGCGGTAAATGCTAATGATTTGTGATCGTGTGAACGAATGCCGCTACACGATAAGAAGAATATTGAAAGTTGTGAAGATATTCGAAAAAATGTTGTGTGGCTGTTTGCGCATTTCTAGATGGGATTATTGGATGCTTGAGTTTTGAGAAGGTTTAGGTTTTTAAACGGGTTGTTAAGATACAAGGGTACTTTCATAAAGTGGACCTGATTCAACCCAGATTTATCCCTGTAACATCTCCCTAATACGCCCTCAACACGCTCCTAGCATAACAAAACAAAATAAACACAACACATCCATCGAAACCCATTCACACAAAGTTATTGCGCCAAAAAATATGAAAAAGGCTGCTTTCGATGATTTATCGGCGATAAATGTTTGCGTAAAGTTTATTGAATTAATTCCATCATCAATGTCTCTTTAAATAAAATTTAAAGTGTCAAAAAATGCTAATTTTATTCTTCATCTCTCACCTTTTTTGTGTGCTATTAGCAACGATAGATTTCGACCAAACCAGCATGAAATATTGGCACCAATTTTTTGCGCATAAAAAGGATTAAAAATTGTGTAATATTTTTGTGAAATATTAACATTCACTCACCGACAGATTATGTAAATATTTTAACATTATTGACTGGATTTGCTGAAACTTTATTAAATATTCCACAATTTCCACTTAAGCCAATAATTAATTACATTTTCATTACAAAATAAACACGAAAAATTTCTCTCATTATTTGCACACAAAATAGTATTGCATAAAAGTTTATTTTGCGTTCCTGATAACAGCCATTTAAAGCTCATATGTATATGAAATAATAGCTGTATAAATATTGTTGCTGCAAATAAATCTTCTGATAAATGCACTAGAAAATAAATTCAAATATGCACCGATGTGTGCGGTTCAGTACTTGAGCCCTTTACAGTTCGAAAATTGTTCTACATGTGCTAGTTCAATATGCTTTGAAAGTTATTGAAATATTTTAAAATATCGAGTGTTTTGAAGGGGATCAAAACTTTGCTTGCTTGATATTACAATTGATTTGATGGCTTTGAACCTACTCCTAAACAACTGAGTCTAAAATTTGAATGATATGTTTCTATGCATCCCTTTAGTTTAGGTCAGTTGAGTTCATATCTTACCTAATTGAGTCACGAAACTTACAAAAATTAATAAATTATACTACATCGTTCCTTAAAGATGACAATACCATTAAAAATTAAAATCAAGCAATTCCATCACAAAACTGAATCCAATCTAAAAGGCCAAGTCATACCAACAGCTACAGATTGAAAAGGATTCCTCAAAAAAATCCCTACCAAGCACCCAAAATAAAGGTCAAAAGCTGCATGTTAAATAAATCACAACATGAAAGATCAACGAAATTTAATCAAGCGCATTGAAATCGTGAATAAATGTCCCTCATAAAACAGCATTAAGTCAGTCTAAAAGTCCAAAAGATTTTATTTTTGTTACCTTTTTAAAAATAGATCTTAAAGCCATTTGATAATCAAGACAATTTAGTTTCCATTCCCACGGTTATTTTCAAATTATTCCAGTTCATATTTCTTCTTTAAAGTTTCGCGACTGTTTTTCTACATTTTAAAAAATAATAATAATAATCTGAATATATGCAGTGAAATAAATTTTTAATAATGCATAAAATTATGCCATATCAAATCATAAAAATTGTATTATTCCAATGTAGTTTTTTTCAAAACTTCGGTGGTCTTTGTTGCAAATGAAAATGAAAATGCACATAAATCTGCTCAACTGAGCCAAACCTGAACAAACGGATAGCGAGAGACGACGAGCGGAGTCGCGGACTGAGTGTGTTTTGGAAACATAAATGTTTATTAAGTCTTGTGTGTGACTATAATCATGATTTATATCTCAACTATTTTTGCATGAAATTAAATTTTTTATGATAGCTTTTAATTGCATTATTTATGAGTTAAAAAAAAAGTTTTGTTACACACACTCGATGGTTGTGGCGGCTATGATGTAGTAATGCATTATCAGTGTTGTTAAGCTTGATGTCTAGGATAGCTTGGATCAATGATATTATTGAATATTATTTTCTTTATCAAGCAAACCAGTCATAGAATTAGTAACTAGCGTATACTCAAATCTAACTGATAAGGGGCCGTTCACTTATGACGTCGGATATTAAGGTCATTTTTCAAAAAAGGAACAATAGAATTCCAAGAACTTCTAGTGTTCTTTTTTTACTGACCCCCCCCCCCCCCCCCCCGTCACAAGTGAACGGTCTCTAAGTCAAAGGGATGGGATTGGCTGAAAAATACCCGGAGATTTTAGAGTCACTCAGACATTCTGAGAGGTTATGAACATGGCTATTAAACTCAAAACTCTAATATAGGGTAGTTTTTTCCTTACTTCGTTGATTTCTCACGTCAATTTTGATCCATAACCTAGTTGTCATCACACTATGTTCTAAATATCAACTCTGGTGGCGTCTACGATTTAGTAATTCATAGTCTACAAAGTTTCTAAAAGTTTATTTCTATCATTTCATTTTTTGGGTGAGAATTTAATTGCATTTTAATCAAAAAATTATTGAAACTTCTGACGAAATTATTCAAAGGATTTAACTTCATAAAAAGCCCCATAAAACCACACTTCATTGGGATCCCTTTACAGCACAGAGTGTGTAAACTTACTTAACTAGTTATGAGGTTTCCTCTGTAACAACTATCCGCGTGATGCGGTTTTAATGGTCGATGACAATTGTAATTCATGATTTATTGCTATCTACATTTCAACTTTATTTGTTTCAATGTCATTTGATGTCTCGAATTCGCCCCACAGTAATCATTTCAGATTATATTTCACATCTTTCTCTGAATAAATGGATGAATTATATACTTTTATGTTTTGATCTTGTTATGTGCTCGCGGTGTACGAAAAATAATAAAATCTACAAACTGGTTTCGTATAAAAAAATTGCAATTTAAGAATTTTTCACAAACTGCACGTTTTTGGTGTATTTTTTTTGAGTGTGGAATAAAAAGCGGCATTTTCTGAGAAACTTAATGTGCTCGTGATGTTTAACAGTAATTTGAGAATATTTTGTGTGTTTGCCCCATTAATGTTGCATAAAAGGAACGAGAATTTTGTTTTTTGAGATCAGAAGAAGTTTGTAAGTTTTCAACGGGAGTTAATTATCTCTTTAAGATGTCGTTAAAATTTTTTTTGTTAATGGTGTAAGGTTTTTATGGGTTTAAGTTAGAGTTATGCGAGTTTTGATAAGAATAAAAGCGGCAAATTTATGCGAATAAGTAAGAACTTTTAAATTTTTGCGATGTTTATTCACTTAATTGTTAAGGTTGTTTTGAACATTAAGCTTGTTGTGTAAGAAGGGGCTTTCAGAGTCATTGATCAGTCTCTGATTGCTCCAAGTAAGGATTAAAGGATTGGTTGTTAAATAACCATTCAGACATTCAGCTTTAGCAGTTCCTTCGATTAAAACATGACGAAATTATCTAGAGGTGTCTAAACCTAGAAAAAAATTTGAAAAATGCTAAACTAAATACTCAATTTAAAACAAGGCGTGTACACCAGGCACGTAGCTACGGGTGGAGTGGGGGGGGGGGGGGGGGGGGTTGGGACAGATCCCCAAACGTAAGCAGAAATTTTTTATTTTGCCAGGGCTCTTATAAAAATCACAAAAATACCCCCCCCCCCCCCATCTTAAATTTTTCTATACAAAATTATATATATAATCAATACAAATCTTATTTGGGATTATTGGGATTATTAGGAATATTTGGGATTAATCCCAGTGATCACGTTTTGGTTTAAAACTTAACAACATTCTCATAAAAATTCCACTTTATTCAAAATATTTCATTCCGTGAGTCCAAAAAAAAAAAATTCTCTCAAAATAAAAATTTATTGAAAACAATTTCTTCACCTTTGTCTGTTATTGTTCTCATCAGCATCAACACCATCGTGCCAACACATTTGGTTATTTCATTTCTTCCCATCTTGTAAAACACAAAAATCTCCTGATGAGTGATATATGTAATTGACCGAGGAGGAAAGTAATCATCGTTTATGACATTATAAGAAACCTGCTGACTTTCCATACTTAAATATAATAAAAGAAGTGAAGAACATAAAATTAATTTTTTATGATCAGCACTGGTGTGTTCCTCATGAAAAGTGACAAAATGGCAATATAATCATTAAATGAGTTTTAGCTCAAGTTTCATCTTCTTGACTCTTGTTTTTTTTTTAAATTTATTGATGCAAAATGTGGATTTACAAATGTGATAAAATTACCATTCGGCAATTTATTTCTCTTATTTAATATCGATTGCTTGTTGTGAAGTTCCTACGCAAAAAAACAAGAGCAACAGTACGAACATTTCTATTTTACACATTAATGCACTTTTTGAATCAAAATCGATGTTTTTTTTAACAAAAAAATTTTCATTTCTCTTTTTTTACAGCATGCAATTGCAACGGACATGCTAGACGATGCCGTTTCAATGTGGAATTATACAAGCTCTCAGGACGTGTGTCGGGTGGTGTATGCGTGGATTGTCGACATGATACAACTGGCCGTTACTGTCACTATTGTAAAGAAGGCTTTTATCGTGATCCAAGTAAATCCATTACTCACAAAAAGGCATGCAAACGTAAGTAGTTTTACAGAAATATTGGGGAAATTCGATTTTCTCTTGATTTAGGAGCGTTTAATCGACATTTCCGTGATCGATTTTTTGAACGACAATATAATTGAGATTGGAAGGGAGAGAGATGGAGACATACTCGGATAAAGGCTATAGAATGATTAACTTGGAATGAGAAAATGAAAATCTGCGTAAAAATAATGGATTGGACTTTTTGTGGCTAGCATGAAGCGCATTTTAGTGACTTATTAAATGATAAATTAGAATCGAGCTTACTTAAGGCAATTCTGTAAGTTTAAGAGTTTGAAATTATATGGTCTTGTAATAAAGTAACAGAGTTAAATAATCGATTCTTATTTGTTGAAGTTATGAGTTCGAATCCTCGAAAATGATCGAATTCCTGGTGAATCGTATTAGCGCTCAGACCATTTAAAGTCATTTACTAGTCACATTATCCTAAAATACAGTTTATATTTTCCATATAGCCACAAAACAAATCAAAATGAACAGCAAACAAAAAAGTAAAGCTAAAAGATTCAATCCATCAGTAAATGAGAATAAAATCTGTCTGTGTGACACAAACATGAGCACAAAAAGGCAGCCCGGAGGCTATTAATTAAATAGATTGCAATATACAGGAAAAACAAAAAAAAAATCATCTCGAAAATTGCTTGTTTAAGTTGTTGAGCAAATAAATAAAGATTTTTTCAGTTCATCTTCGGTTGTTTATCTTTTTCTATCTCTCACACTGCACATACGGATGTGTTTTTCATACTCTGAATTGCATGTTGAGCAACTTTTTGCCTTTATAAACAAACAAACAGAGGTTTTTGAGTGAGAAAAAGATATATAAGAGGAAATGTGTACAGAAAAATGGATTTAATTTTACTAAATGATATAAAAACTAGTTAAAGGATGGCCACGGAAAGTTTTTGAGATAGAAAGTTTGATTGAAATTTGAGGTTTTGATAAAAGTTTGGAAATTTTTAATTAAAATGTTTTAATTCATGTAAAATTAGATTTGAGGAAGCTCATGTTGCCTCAGATTAATGTAAACACTTGTTTAAGTATCCAGCGTATTTTGCGAATTGAAGATGAATCTGCTAGCTTTATCAATAATCGACCCTAAAATTTGAGAAGTTGTAGGTTCGAATCTTATTTAAAACCACATTTATCATGCACCTCTAGTCATCCCCGAAAGACTTTTTTCCATTACCTTCCTTCACTCTATCTCATCGAACACAAGATTCGTTCAAAGTACAAATGCCGCATGCCAAATAAACACAATCGATGCACAAATAACAAGACATTCCTCAATTAGGTTTTGCAATGTTGCACTCGAATGCCTTTTTAAGTTCCATTTTCTCATCTATAAAGACGTAAAGCAGTTAACTTCATGATGTTTCCTGAAATCTTCAGCTGTAGAAACAGAAAATGTTTCGTAGAATGAGAATTATAGGAAGGCGTACACTTGCAAAAAATATCTTGTTAAATCCTTTTATGAAACAGAAAGAGTGATAATAAAAAAGGCAATATCAACAGCAGTGAAAGAAAAAAAAAATTATTTCCGTTTTTTATCTCATCAACCTTACGCTCGAGGCAAATCAATTTTCTAGCTATACAAACAAAACAGTAGCATTTGTTTTGTGTTTATTTCTTCTGAAGCTTAAGCTAGATGGAAATATTATTTAGTGGCTTCTTTTTGTCTTGGTTGATGGATTTTATAGGTTATGTTACTTGATGCAGTAGTCAGATGCTCTTAAAAACTAAGCTGAGATATATTCAAGGTATAAGCTGAGTTTTTATGGATGCAGTGTTGATTCAGTACAAAGCAAACCTATAAAATTCTATTCAATACCTCAAAATGCGCTTTAGACACCTCTAATCCAAGAACATTTTCCTATGAATTTCCATTTTATATATGTATTCATGTGAATGAAGTATTTAATATTGTACAACACATAAAAGCTCATTCTTGATGTTAAAAAAATAATAATATCAAGGGACTCATAAAGAGGACAATAGCACATGTTTGGATGGTCAGAGAATAAGCGTTAACACAAAAACAATGTGCCCGAAACACTAAGTTAATGAAGTTTTTTTTATCTTTTTCCTTTCCGTCCTTCAATAGATCCACATTTATTTTACAAAACATTCATACGAAGGATATAAAAGAGAATAAAAAAAGGAATAAAAATAAAATACAGAGAGAAGCAAAAAAGACTCAAGGGCAATGCTTATAACATGACTTTTCATTAAAAATGAATGAAGATCGCTTTTCCATTTTTTTTATTTAATGAAGGAATAGCAAAAATAAGTAAAGTTAAAAAAATTGCGGTCCCAAAATGTTTTTCGTTGATATTTTTTTGCCCACGGGTGCCTACATGTGAATGAAAACTAGGTTAAATCTTTATCATGTTGACATGACTTTCCAAAAATATATATTTTTGGCAGAAAATTTCCTCCCCATCCTCTTTAAAATTATCAAGATTGGATGTCGAAGAAAAAGGTCGTAAAATTATTTTCAGATGAAAAGTTAAATAAAACCTTCGAGGAATAAATTGAACTTTAATTTCCTCTGAACCTTCACCTTTATGAAAATGATTTAATTTATTGACAGAATTTGATGATCGATGCATCAAATGTTTCACGATAATTTGGGTATTTATGCTTCATTTTCCCAGTCCAATTGAATTTAGAGCTCCTAAATCAATCTCAAAGACATTAAATTCTCAATTTAATTATCTATAAATTATTTCAGCTTGTAACTGTCACGCAATTGGATCAACTGGCAAGTCATGTAACAACACAACTGGTCATTGTTCATGCAAAGAGGGTGTGACGGGATTGACTTGTAATCGGTGTGCTCGGGGCTATCAGCAGAGTCGATCTCATATTGCACCATGTATTAGTAAGTATTAATGAAATTATCGATTACTTCTTGGTTACAGCTATGAGAATTTGTTTATTGCTTGAATGGAGATGTTTTGATAGGATTGTTCTTTTCGTAATTACTTTTTGTAATGGAAATTATTTTATATTGAGAAGAGTTTATGAATGACGTCTTACAATTAAGCACTCGAGTGGCTAAGAGCTTCAAATATAGTATAGCTTATAAAACCAGATTTTAACTCGAATCCTAGTTTTTACCTTAAAGATAATCTTAGCAATAGCTTAGTGATTCTAAGTTCAAAACAAACCTCATCTATGAACGACCCTTCAATATAGAATTGAAATTTCAAATGCAAAAGTTTAATTTTCGACTCTTCAAAATGCAGTTCCAGCTAATTTTCCATTTCTCATAATAATTTTCTAGAATTCACTCAAAAATCATTTTTAATTGTCTTAAGACAATTATCTAGAATCTTAAAAGCTGCAATTTATTAGAAACTCTATAGCACATTATAATTCAAAGCTCTCGTTTATGAATTATTCAGCACAAAAAAAGTTTCTTTACCTCTCTTATCGTAGTAATAAAATAAATTTAATAAATTTTCCCTTTTTTTCTCCACCTACAGAAATTCCTCGAGTAATTAGCATGAATATGCCACAGAATACAGCACCTGAGAGCTACTACAACGACCAAACGGAAGTGAGACCCAAATCGCGTGAAGGTAAGAACATGAAGTTTAGAATGTGGATTTTATGGGTTAAGTTTTGGGTTTGTGATGATTTTTTCGTGGATTTTACATCGTAAAATGTTTGGATGTCCAGTTGAAAATGTGATGACAAAGAATGGATTTTATAGCAATTTTATTGCGCTTTATTGATTGAAGAAGACTAAATGATGTTCCTTATGTGGGATTTGTTGAGAATTTTTGAATCAGGAAGAGAATATCCGCGAATATCTGATGATTTGACCAAGTAATGTTTAAGTCATTTAAAAATTATTTAAACTAGGTTGCAACCTATTTGGAACAGTCATGTAAAGTCATTTAAAGGACATCGAGTAAGAGATAGCGATATAACTGTAGTAGAGTCTCCAGATAAGTTCTAAAGGACATCCCACAACTACTTAAGACTCATCACTCATCACATAATCCAGAAGTCATTACAAAAGTTTCATAAAATCCAACATAATTTAATCATAAGGACATCATCATGAAAGAAAGCTACTCAAAAGAAATTAAACTTTTTTTTTATTACTCGTCTTGAAATGTGCATCGACACACACCCACATAAAAAAAAGGCAGCAAGCAAGCAGAATTCTCATTAAAGTGAAAGAAAAGTAATAAAAAAAAGTTTATATTCTGTATTGTGTTTCTGCTTTGCCATCACATATTCATCACATCCAAAAAAAAAAATAAACCAACGACAAGAGCGAGTGAAAGAAGGAAGAAGGAAAGCTGAAAGCAAGGAAGAAGATAATTATTTTGATATCATCGTCAGTCGGCAGTTTTTATTAAATTTAACTTCCCTTTTAAAGAAATTTATTCTCCTCATTACTTTGACTTCTATTTAAAGCTCAAATAAAATTCTTTTTTTTTTTTGTTGATGCTTCCATCTGAGGGATTTATTTATGAATTTTGGGGATTTCAATATTTACTTTTCTCTTTTTAATCAATCTTTGTTTTTTTTTTTAAATGTTACGCAATGAAAAATGATAAATTATTTTTAAACAAATCCCTCATCGTTCACAATGGTTATGGGAGAATAAAAGAATTGAAACTTTTTTTTTATGAAATATGAATCATTTGTATCGGTGAAATGTTGCTAAATGGGTGACATTTTGACTGATGTGACAGATATAATGTTGATTATTTATTGTTTTTGGGTTTAAAGTTGAGATTGTTTAATCGTTTTGTGTTTAGAATTGGATTAAGTCTTGTTTTAGAGAATCTCGTTCTCGAGTTGTATTCGAATGAGCACATATTGTGGTTCAGGAAACCTAAAAGCCTAGTTATGGCACTTTTTGAGGTTAAGTTAACTCTTAAAATTGTAAATTATGATAAATTATATTTAAAACTGCTCCAAAATTCTAGACTTAGTCCTAATCTTACAGATCTAGTCAAGAAAAAGCGTTCAATCCGCCACAACTCAAAACAGCATCCACAACTCATCAAATTTCATATTTATTATAAAAACTTGAAATACAAAATTTACTTTTGTTTCAATGATACTTCAAGAACAAAAAAATGAGAAACTTTACGTACAAAAATTCATTTTTATTACTTTTCGAAAGAAACGAAAAAAAAACTTGAATTGAATTCAACATAAAAACTGATTCCTTTAAAAAAATTCATCTTTTTCGCTCAGCTGAAGTATCTACTTTCATGAACTTTTCTCATTTTGTCAAATTTTTTCTCATTTCCCTTACTTTATTTCAACAGATTGCAAATGTAAAATTGAAGCACAACGACTGAATAGCAAAAAATTCTGCAAAAGAGATTATGGTAAGTTGAATAATAAAGCAAAAAGAAAAACAAATAAAATAAAAAAAATTATGAAATAATTTTTTGAAGACTTTTTTCAACGAAAAGCAACAGCAAAAGTAAATAAAGAATTTTTCATTCTCTGTTGAGGTTGTTGAATAAAATCAAATGAAAAATTTCCTTTTGTGAGCGATTTGTTGGATGAATGAAATGATTTATATAGCTAGGATGAAGGGGATCTATGTGTATGTAGAATGAATATGGCAACGTAGGAAAATTCAAACGGAAATGAGTCATTGAAAATTTTTTGATTAAATAAATTCGTAAAATGGAAAATGGACATGATTTTCAACTCTCTTTGATCATTTTTTTATATTTAAAAAAATTATATTTGCTAGATAAATTTGCAACAATTTAATGACTCACATTAGTCAGGAATAGAAAGAGTTTTGCCAATAAAACGTGAGCTACTAATGACATAATCCTCATGTGACACAAAATAGTAAAAGTGAAATTGAATTTGATAGACAAACTGACAAATTATTGACAAATCCTCAATTCCCATAGAAGTACTCGAAGTCACAATATGAATGGATTATAATCTCCAAGCAACAACATGAGTTTTTGAAAAATCCAAATCAAGTTTTGAGGTTGATCAGAAATGATGTTTTTGAGGTCTCAGAGGCTTAAACTCTAAAGGAAACTAGAACATGCCCCTTGGTTTAGTCAAGACCTTCTGTAAAGCCAAAAATCAAATATTTTCCAAACGTCATTTTCAAATGACTCCCAACTAAACCACTTAATTTTTTTCTCAATCCGTCCATTCACTTGTGTGCATTATACTGTCCACTATTCTTCCAGTTTTTTGACTCTTTCTCTTTCTGACTATCCAACTGTTGCCATAGCATTCTCGAACAACATAACTCAAAAAATATAAAACTGTAAAGTGGATTAAAAATATGATCTACAGCTCAGCTGATTCACAGACATTTCATTTATTCCATCAAAAAGTAGATAAACATATAACAAACTGTGAATATTGTAGAATAAATCCAAATGAGACAGCTCACACTGTGTTGAGTTTCATTTTTTTGACTTTTGAATAATTAATAATAATTTTTTTTTTGCTAAGCCTTACCATAACATATGAATTTAATCCGCTTTTTCCTTTACGTCTATTTTTAAATACACAACAAATCTTTTATTTCATCATGGAAATAAATCACAATGAAATATAAAATTAAAAAAAAATATGCAGCAATACTTGCAAAAGTCGTTGGATTGGTGAACAGACGAAATGATGAGATCCGTTACAATCTTATCATCCTCCATACGTATAAGAATAGCGAAGGACGAAATCCGATTTCAGTGAGAAATAATAAGAAACTTCAACTAGTCGTACCTGCAGCAGCAAGCAATTGTCGATGTCCGAATTTGGATGTTAATAAGTAAGTATGAATAGGATGGAGAAATGACTTGGTGTAAAATTTTTTTGGTGTCAAATTTAAGCTGGATGATGGGATGGTTTGTGAAGTTGACTTTTTGGATTTTAATTTATTTTTGTGAATGTAAAATTTGAAGGTGAAGCGTATCCAGTCATTTTTTAACACGGATGGGGAGGGAGAAACCTTTTCTTGCAGGTCATAAAATGTAATTTTAGAACCAACCAGAGTCGGTTTTTAGACGTCATTTATGAACGGCTCTAAGGGAAAAAACTCTAATAATGACCAAAACTCATCCTTCAGATTAATTTTGACACTAAAAAGCATTATTTTAAAATTTAATAAATCTCAAACAAAATTCTCATCCTCAGATCGTACTACATACTTGGCATGCACTCCAAGCACAGCAAAAATGAACTCGAAATCACTAAAAAATCAATCGTCATTGAATGGCGAGAAGACTTTAAAGGGCGCTTTGAGAAATTTAGAAGTGAATGCTACTAAAGATAAAATGTTAATTCATCAACATTTAAGTGAAAAAAAAATTAATGAATTTCTCATGTTTATATAAAGTATTAAGAATCACCTCCGGTCATCATTTACATTACATGCAGATACAAGAATAACAAAAAAAAGTAATAAAACAAAATATTATGGATTTGAATATGAATGAATGAATGTGTGAGACAGCCGGAGTGAAAATATATGGAATTAAGTGACAATATTGTAGAAAGGTATTATTTCATTTTCACATTTTATATATTTGAATAGGCAAAACATATGCAAATAATATTGTATGGGAAACATATTGGAAATTATGTCACATGGTGTTTGCTTTTCAGCATGAGAAAATGTTTATTTTTCACTAGAAGTCTGGAGTTTATTTTTAAAATTTGAGATGAGAAAGAACATTTTGTTGTGACTGTAGTTTGAGTTGGAATAATCTGTAATTGATAGTCGATGCTCATTTTGTGGCAATAATATGAAATATTCTGAATAAATTGCATTATTCTGACTTAAGATTCACTTTTATTCAACATCCAGTCAACTAAATCAACAAAATTCCATGAACTACACCTTGACACTCTTATAAGCAGGAAGTCACTTAAACTGAAGGAAAAAAACTCTCAAACCCGTACCGACAAAAGACCAGGTGTCATAATCTCCAAATTATTTCTCATACAATACAAATCGAATTGATTCTAGTGAGCCATACACAATGTTTAGATTATAAGTATCTCTAACACTAAATCAAAAAAAAATATATTCATAAATTATATTAAAGATCCAAGAGAGAACCAATATGAACAAAAACTAAGTTTTAAGATTGATTTTATGTTAATCAATCGATATGAATAAGAAAATGCAAATCTTTGTGGATGAAGATGAACTTTGTCTGCTGAATATGAACAGAATTAATCATTAAATTAATTAAAAGGAGTCGGTCAACAATGATGTTGGGGTTAGGCCTAAGAATCTAATTTTAATCGACCATACATCTTGGATTCTAGCTTGACTCATTCTCGAATTTAAGATTGTTTAAAGACTGGGAGAAAATTATTACCAAGAATTCTTGATTGATTTCCACAACAAGTCAAAAAGGGCCTCAAAAAATTGTAAATCAATCAAATGAGTTCGCTAATTTGATACGCGAACGGAACTAGGACACAGAATAAATGAATAAATTATTCAATATCATGAGACTTGCTCTCGCGAAATGAGCAAAAAAAGGACAGCAAAAGGATGGAAATTTCTCATTTATTATATGTAAGTAAACAGGAAGGAGGATGTCGAGTCATGAAATGAGAAAAGTTAAACAGAAAAAAAATTCAATTTCATTTTGCTGGCTCCTTTTTTCGGTCATTTCATTATGATTGTCTCCAGCAACAAATTTCATCTTGCATAATTTAAGCGCGACTGGGAAATGAATGACAAAACAGGAGATGAGGAAATGAAAGAAATTGTCATCATATCTATTAACATTTTTGAATGTCATTCTTACTTATATTATTATAAAATTTTTTTGAATTATTCATCATCATTCTCTTGCCACAGTAAAATGAGCCATATCAACTGTAAAATGGAATATAAAATGTAAATTTATCTTTTAGTCCATTCTCGATTTAATTTTACTTTCATTCTTCTCATTCTTATTTAAACTTGACCTCTCTGCCTCTTGCCTGAGTTTGCCTTAATGTGCACATTCAAGATAATGAAATTTAAAGAAAGAAATGAGTTTTTTGAGCGAGGAAGAAAGGAAGGAAGTAGAAATAAACAGGATTAATGAATAAAATGAAATTTTGTATCCGATCTAATTTGGAAGTGATGAGATTTTAGTGGTGATGTTATAGACCACTAAGTTTAGGATGTAAAATTCTAGCGATTTCATAATAGAGTCGATACTGGTTAACTCGAACTACTTCTTCAGACTTCAGTAGGGTTTTCAACCTCGGGATCCCTTAAATAAATATCTCAAAAATCACGATTTAATTTAATAAAAATTCTAATTTCAATGTCTAGGCTAAAGTCAGCAATTGTTAATTAGCATTTCATGTTTGTCGACAGATTGCCATTATCATAATTAAGCATCTAAAATGGCAATAAGAATTTTTAGCTGCCTTGTCAATTGCTTAAACAGACACTCGTTGAAATAATTTGCTAATTAATTTTTTGTGTCTCGTTGAAGTTTTTTTGTTGGATTTGATCTTGAGATTTCACTTTCTGGAGTGTTTAGAATTGTGGGATGAAGGAGATGTTGATAGGAGTTTTAAATTGTTAATATTGGTCTTCAAATTGATGAATTTTGAAAGAGTCTTCTTGTCAATTTGGTTGATAATCGAAGTTGGGTTAATGTTTACTGACCAAGAATCTTTAATTTTTAACTAATCGGATTAAAATCATTTAAGTTTGCAGTTTGATTCCTTTCAAGTGTTCTTTGCAAAACTAGATAAAGTCAAAAGTCAGTTTTCTCCGATCAACAAGCCGAAATCTATCTGTTCAGCCAATAACTCTCAAATCCCTCAATTAAACTCAACTAGTCAAATCTCATCATCTTTGAACTTCATCAAATTAAGCATAATAAAATAAAATTTCTAAAGCAGGCAATAAAACCGTCACTTCATTAGTTTGAGTTCATAATCAAGTTCATAAATTCCGAAACTTTTCTTTTTTCTAAAAAGCAATTTCAGTCAATAAATTTCATCAATCTCTGCCTTTCCCCTCACATCCACCTTCAAAAACAAAAAAAAAAACCGAGAATTTATTGATTACAGAAAATGAGGTCAATTCTCTTTAATAATCACACGTATCATTAACATTTGTTTAAACACAGTCTTTGGAATGAAGATAAATTCATTTTTATCACACTTTAAACGCGTTGCCATAAAAATGTTTACAAATTTGAGAATTTGCCATATAAAAATTCTTCTCTTTAAATGTGATTTTTGGATGAAGTTAAAGAAATTAAAACATTTATACGGAATGAAAAAAAAATTATAATATAATAAAAAGAAATGTGGTGTAGATAGATCAATGGATCTAAAGATGTCGACTGAATGTTTCACATGAAATTTTATTTTTCCAGCTAAGCTCTTTCCAAAAAACAAAAAATAAAAGTTTCTTTAAATAGAAAATGTGTCAAAATAAATAGGAAGGAAAGATGAATTTCTAAATGTTTTAAATAACGATTTATACTGTTAATTGATTGATAAAGATAATTTAAATTTTTGTTTAAATTACAAAACACATTTTGAATTTTTTTGAGGTAAACTCTCTACTTTGAGAGATGTGGAAGTTCAAAAGGCAATTCAATGAACAAAATTCAAAATGATACTTTAATTTGAACAAGGTTTGATCAGAATTGATACAAAATGGCGTCAAATTTCCTTCAAGCTTGAAAAATTATCGATTTAGATTCAGGCAACAAAAACCTTTGCTACGCTAATGATCGTATACTTCATATTTACCTTCCACATCTGCATATCATCAGATCTTCCTTCAAACTAGTTCATCATATTAAATTCTATAAATTTTTACAAAAGAACAAAAGCAAAGTTTCATTTGAAACCTTAAAAATTGCAATAAACAATGTTAAAAATTAAAATCTCAATGAAAACGAACTATTTTTCAAGGCAGCAACTAGTTACTTTGATTCAATAAGTTTATTTCCAGCCGATAATTCAGAAATTTGCATTTGTTGAGTGAATCTTAAATTCTGTTTAAAAATGCAATGAAAAAAAATATCATTTTGTGAAATTTATGTATGAATTTATATTTAAGGAGATGAAATAAGGCAGTCTTAATGTGATTTCTGATGAACACAAGAAAGTCATCGTAAAATAAGACACCGAATGATGTGTAGCTGCTAAAATGCCATTAATTTCACAAAAATTAATGAACTGAAATGAAAGAAACACGGAAGTGAATTTAAATTGTGTCATAAAGCTATTCTTATCAGTGGGACAATTTGAAATCATATTTAAATTTTTAAAAATTCATCATGTAGCATATAAAAGTAAATTACTGATGCCCTACTTCAAATGTCCCCAAAATTCGATACTCGATATTCCTTAATTTATACAAAAGATAAGTCAATAAAATGAAGAAAAATCTGAATTGAAATGCGCTTTTTGAAAAATTTTAAAATTTTAAAAAACGAAACGAAATTTTTTATTGTAAAAAATTTAAAAACAGTAAAACTAATTTATACCACAAAATGTAAGAAAGAAATTAAAAAAAAATTTAAAAAGTAATAAAAAAATGAATTAAAACTTTGTAAATAATAAAACAAATTGAATTTTAAAGTTTTTAATTTTTTCAATTTTCAGAAATCTTAAACTTCCTCTCGAATCATTTGAAAATCATTCAAATACCTCAACGAGCAACGAACTTACTTTTTACAGTCTCATCAATCCACAGATGAAATTCTTTAGGATTAAAAAGTGAAATGTGATGACAAGAATTACATTTTGTCGCCTAACTGCTATAAAATTCTACAATTAAATATTTGCAAATTAACATTCTTTGAATTCTTCTGTTTTCCTGCATCAAATTGTTGAAATTCCTCATTTTACTTTAATTCAAAAATGTAACATATTTTTGAAATTAAAAACATCCTCAAGTCCATGGGAATCATAATTGAATTGAATCATAATTTGTTTACAACGATTTTTTGTAAAGGATCGTCATTTATCTAAAAGTAACGTTACTAATATTTATAAGATCCAATTAAAATACTAACTGCATAGTATTAATTGATCACAAAATGTACAAAATGTACTTTTGCTGCTGCTTATGCAGCATTCGTAAAAGGTAATTGCAAAATCTTCAAATCTTTTCTTAAAGTTATTTGTTTTCATTTATTGAATGCTATAGCAATGGATCGTGATAAGAATCGTCAAGCGCGCGCTAGACGTTTAAAGAAACAAAAAGGTAAAAATTCAAAGGCTCAGATTTTCAGTTTCCCAGTTTTTAAATTAAATTATTTCCTTAGCCCGTAAGAATTCAAAGACTCTTTGCATGCCTCCCACAGCCTCTACGACAGATACTAAAGCACGTACAATTCAAAACGCTGTCAAGAAGGAACCAAAAGTTGAAGTGAATGTCTCGAATGTATTGGAACGAACATTCAGTTCACCAATTTAATAATGAAAAGATTCAGTGAATAAAGTTGACATTAAAAACATTATTTCTTGTGCTTTACTTTTTACATTGGCAGGATTCTATCAGAAACTATTTAATTGTTGTAAACATCAACTTGCGTGAACATTACAGCTCTCGTTCCTTTAAATTTCAATCAAAATTTTTACATCCCTAAGAAAATCATTCATTGTTCCTGAGATATGAAATATTTAAGACGTCTTGAAATGTTTTTATATACAATTTACTTAATACTTTAAGAGGTTTAACAAAGAAAGTAGCAACATCATCTTTAAGTACGTACACACAATGTGACTTCGTGTGAATTTGTTATTCTTAATATTTTTTTTTTGCTTTTAACACAAAAGTGAGCAGTTGTAGGAGTTGAAAGCTTTAAACCCTAAAGGTAATTTACAAAGTCTCTTTTTCCGTACATAAAAAAACCAAAAGTTCATGACATTCGAGAAATAAGAGATGGGAACTTTAAGAAGCTCCAAGGCTAATGGTATTTTGGGTTGCTGCTGAATGTTTTTAAATGGCTTTAAGTCTTTTTATGTAACATGAAGCTTTAGATACTCCCTAGCAATTTTGAGTGTCTTTGAGGGTTTTCTTGCTTGCTTTTTTTTCCAGCTCAAATTTCAATTTGCAAATCAAGAATTTTAATTTTTCTGACTAGATTAAAACAATTCGGCTTTAATATTTCCATAGAATCCAGCAGACAAAACGGATCCAAATAGATACGGATGTTTTCAATCAAATTCCATATTTAATATCCACCTGACAGTCATTAAATGACAAGTTTTGTGGTTAAAATTTGACAAATTAATATGGGATCGTTTATTAATGACGTCCATCAACAAATAATATCTTCAGACATCTCTATTGCAAATTTTTAATTCATAGCTATAACCTCCAACCCCATTTTCTTAATGATGGACGTCATAAGCAAACGAACACTTACATATGAAACATGAAGCTATAAAAATAAATCATTTTGTTATCACATTTAAGGATCTCCGACCACCGCAGCAATAGCAATAAAAATATTAATACGTTAATTAAAATTAACAATATAAATCTTATCAAGCATGCTCTTGAATTTTTGCATAGCAATAAGTCAAACACAATGGGTGTAAAAAAATTCACAATTCAATAAGCCAAAAATAAGAGACCATGAAATTGTGGAAAAATTCATTAACTTCTCAGTTCCATCATGCAATAAAAATATTTTTATGACCTCTATGTTAATAAAGTTTTAAGAGAACTAAAAAATATTTTACGAGATCGTTATCAATTCCGACTAGAGTCGTTTTGAGTTTCTCATATAAAATGCATGTCTAGGTTTTATGAGTATATTCACACTGTTCTAATGTTATGTGACTTATGAGATGGAATGAGACGAATTCGAGGATGTTTTATGGTCGTTATCAGCAGTCACTTAATGATTTTTTTTTGAGGTCTATAAAAGTGAAATGTTTGTATCAACTTTCAAGCGAAATAAATGGGAATGGATGTAATAAATTTGTTGAATAAGAGAAAGGTTCAATGTTAACGGAAGTGCTGGATAATTTTTTAATCCGTTAAGTTGAATTAATCAAAAATTTTTTGCAAGATCAGAATGAATATTTTTCACGGTTTAATGCTGCTTAATTCTTGATTAGTGGCTTCCTAGCGAATCTTGATCTTATATAGAATATTAAACGATTTATATGAAAGGAATTAACAGCTAACGATACTATAAAGTAAGTTGCTTAACAAACCCTTCATTCAGTCATAAACCTTACATCACAACTTAATAAGTTCACATCAAACTACTAACTTTATTTCAATCAAAATCACAATGAATTATGAAAATTGTTCCTTTCAGCAACTTACATGTTGAATAGAAAATCTATCAAGACTGACTTGTGCAACGCAAGTCAAATTTTGAAGTCTTCAATTATGAAAAGTTACTTATTTGAACTTTACAGCTGCTAGCATTTATAATCACTTCATTTTAAGATTATAATAGTAAATATAAAAGCATATAGACATGCATTATGAGAAACTTGCTTGTTCAAAGCATCTTATGCCGAGTAATGCAGGAGTTTGGAGGATTTTCTTGAAGGTTTTGTGTCTTTTCTTTTATTGATCTTGTTTGTATGTCTTGTCGGCTTTGGCCAAAACTCTAAATTACTGTTCCAAGAAGGTCTATACCTCATAAATGTCCTAAAACTAGTGAATCCAATTCACATTAAGTAAGTTTCTGTTAAAAATTCTAACCTAGTTCTGCATTACTCGGACATTTGAATATGAGAACTTACAGATGACTTCAAGAATTAAGAACGAGACATGATAGAGAAGACAATAAAACGAAAAACAAAGAGAAAATGTAAGAAGAATATGAATGAAAAGGTAAATAAGCAAGAATTTTATGTGAAGAACTTTGATTTGAGTTTAAATTGTTTCCAAAGGCACAATGCCTCAACAATATGTCTCGTTTTTAATGACTTAATTAATAATTGAATGGAAAATAATAAATCCTGCTTTATTAACTCGTACGGTGAAGCAGTTAAAAGAGATGTAAAGTTTTTAATTTTTAACTTGTTTGTTTTGTAAAGTTTTTGCTGAAGAATTGCAGCAATGGAATCAAAAATAAGAATAGAAAACTCAATCAAAATTATTTAGAAAAGTTTTCAAAACGACAAATTCACTAATTGGCAATAAGTTCCCCATTTAATGCGATTACAAAACTGCAGGCACAAGTCAACCACCCGAAATGTTAAACAACAAAAGAAGTCGAAAACGAGATTCAAATTACAAAAGAATCGGAGATGTCGAAGAACAAATTCCTTCAAAAAATAGTAAGAAACCGAGAAACATTTTTTTTATCGCATTTTAAACAAACAATGAAATAAAAATCTACAGAAAGTGAGTGTGAATGCATAAATGCAAATAAATCCAAGAAATGCCTCGCCACATAAAAGGCAATTTGCCTCCTCCTCCTCCTCTCTTATCTTTATTTTGAAATCAAATAACAACAGCTACAGCACAACACTTGAGTCATTTAACTTCTCTTCTACGAATTTTTTTTTTATTTTATGTTGAGTCTTTCAAACAACGAAACAAAAAATCTTTGACGACAAAATAAATTTCATCGACACTAAAAAGATTTTTTTTTCTCTCTTCTTGGAGCGATTTGTGCTTGGTTGCAGTTCCTTGTGAAGAATTTATTCACTTTTTAAATATTTTATGAGGAAGGGGTAATCAACTACGCATTAGAAACTAGCATTCTTCGTACAGGCTTATCTAAGAGAGTCTAGAGAGTTCAGTTCCTGTCCTTAAGTTTGATTTTTGCATGGAAAACATGAAAATCTCCTATTTATCACAGTTGGTTACGTTTTATAGCTCTTTTCGCCTAGTTCCTTTGGTTACCCTACCTTAAATGTCTCAACCTAGTTGTGTTGTCATAATACTTGATCAGAATAACAAAGATAACATAAATCTTACTCTCCCAAGCAATATCTGACAAAATCATCATAAGAACTTAAAGTTTTACACAAAATAAAGATTTTGATCAGCAAATTATTACCAACAAACAACCTTATTAGCGTTTTGTGATCACAAAAAAACATTTCCAGTTATTAAAGATGAAAGAGAAAAAAAGAAATTTCCATAAATCGATGATAAGGCGCATTTATTTGAAACAAATAAGGAAAAATTGGCGATTATTGATATTCCAAGCACCAACAGCAGCATTAATCAGCAAGTAAGCATCGTTCAGCAATAAATGCGAGAAACTTTCATAACAATTTACTGAGAAGTTGAAGAAGTTAAGTGTTGATGCTTATGTTCATCGTGATGCTCTAAACGAACGATAGATGATAATTGTGAAGATTAGAAGAATGTTGGAAGTTATGGAAATTTTATTCGACGTTTTCGTTGTTTTTAAAATGAATGATTTTATCATGAGAAATAATAACTATTAAGCTAGAAATGAGGAGTCTGTTTTTTTTGTTCCTAGATTTCACTTGAAAAACTATAAAGGGGCCGTTCACTTATGACGTCCAGGGGGGGTCACCAAGAAAAAAACAATATATATTCCAGGAAATCCATTGTTCTTTTTTGAAAAATGACCGTTAATTTCGGACGTCGTAAGGGAACGACCCCAAAATGAATCACTTTTCTTGAATATTTTTCAATGACTTTTTAAAGCTTCAACTTCAATGCTCTCATTCATCAAACGAGTATGACTACATCATTACTTATTTATTAGCATATTATGCAAAGTATAAGTTATGATAGAAAATTATGACATTAAGATAATGAAAATGAAAATGGATTGAAGGGATTTGAAGTTTTTTTTGTAGCTCTAAGTGCTTTGAAAACTTGAGGCTTAAAATGTTCGATGATGTTTAGTGATTCGTTTGGTAAATTCAGTTGCTAGGTTTCTGGTCCCAATAGCTTGCTTAATGGTTGATCATGTAGGAATAATAATTTATTCTCGGGAAAAGCTTGGTCCCTAACCTTTAAACATTTTATTCCTATCAATAATTCTTATCGCAATCAAATCAAGATTCACGACAATTAAACAGAACAAAACCATAAACACAGAAATTCCTGAAATTGTCAGCAAGAGCCTGCTTAATAATCAATACTAATGATGATATCCGATATTATATTCCCGATAAATTCGCTCGCAAAATATCATTTAATTTAATTAATTCATTTTCAAATCATAAACCTATATTCTCGACATTTTGGTATAGAAATCTATATTTTAGTCCATAATCTGTTTATTGCTATCTCGTAAAACTTTTTATTTAGTGTGTGATTTATGGTTTTTTATATCGTGTGAATTAATAATTCTTGTTTTGTGTGACTTATGGGACGGAGAATTTTTTTGTTTATAACTTCCGTTTAACTAGTTGCGAAATTCTTAAGAACAGGTAAGGTTGTTTATGTAGTCTAGAGTCTGAGACTTTTGGGAAGAATGTGGAAATATCACACAATGTTTATGCTGCTTG